TTCTCTTCTTAGTACAAAAGCCCCTCTTTGTTTTCCATTGAATGATTAGAATGATAGAATCTATCTATTTAGTATGGTTATTGCCACACAACAAAGTGTTAAGGTCACATAAATTTTTAAGTATTATCTTTTAAAAAATTGGCTCTGTTTGGTTTAGCTGTTAGAAACAGCTAATAACTAGAGTTGTTAGTTGATAGATGATAAAACAGCTAATATTTATCAGTTAACAGATTAAAATCGGTCTATAATCTGTTGTTTTAAATTACCATAACTAACTATTTATGAAAAAACTTATTATGATTTGTATGCCCTTAACACTTAGGTGCTGCCATAACCATGCGCATCCATTTTAATTTAAGCCTCTGTCAAAATATGTCACTTTATAACTGCATATCAATTTTTCAACTAAATAAATAAATACAGCTTTCTCTAATTCTCTGCCTCTTATGAGTGAGTTAGGATCATGATCATGTAAGCCTGCTTTGACAATGGAAAGTACAGAAGCAGCAGCAAAAGCACAAAAACAGCTCCCTTCCATTCTATTTGAGTTAGGATTCACTTACAGACAATTCATACACGCATCACTTACACAAAACCTCAACTATTCATTTCTCCAATCTAAATGGTTGATTTTAGCATGACTTTTAGATGAAAAAGACAATTACCTTTAAAAAATAGGATAAAAAGAGGATATATGTCAACCATTTATGGTGGACAAATGACTGGTCAAGACTTTATGTAGATGACGTGTGTAACATATGTATGAGTGGATCCTAACTCTATGTACTTTAGAATCTCTATCATATCAAAAGGAACAAACAAAAGAAAAAAAAAAAAGTTACTAGTAAATCATCATCTTCCACTAATCAAACCAGCAGAGGTGGATCAAGTGAAGAGAGCAGCAACAAAAACAAAGGAAACATACTATAGCCTTGACGAAGACTAGACCGGTCAAAGGTGAGGTGATTTCTCTAAAACCCCATTCAGACAGCCCTTTCATAAGAGAAGAAATGTACATACAACAAATTCCTTCCTTGCACATCTAATTACAAATGGACAATCAACCCTCCGCTGCACATACACGCTTGCAGTTAACTCACTCAAATTGATGGTACAATTAATAACAGTCTACTCCATACTAACCATCAACCAACCAAGTATCTAGAACCACTACCAAATTAAACAAAGATTTTTCCAGAGAATGTTTTTGCTTGCACGTCCATGTATGATACTACTGAATCTAACTGCCAACAATTAACATTACCAGCACTACCAAAACAACAACCAAAAAAAAAAAAAAAGACTGCCAGAAAAGCTAACCAGGAAAAGTTCAGAGACATTCTCTTCATGTCAAGAAAGTTATTAAAAGCACATGAAACCACCACCAATTGTCATTGAAAGGGACAAGGTTAAACTCAACTTATTAAAACTTGCAATCACTAACATATATAATCCATCGGATATTCCTCAGTGACACAATTCAAGGACAATCACATATCTTCAATTCACTGCCATAATGATAAACTGCATGGTGACATCATCCCTTCTTAACTTCTCAGAGAAACTATACCAGCTTTGCACAAACAAATAAAATTAAAGGGAAAAGATAGAATGTTGAAGAACTAACCATGTGTCTTGGCTAAAATGATTACGGAGACAAGCAATTGACTGCCCGATTTTAAAAGGAGGACCAGCAGTGTCTTTTTGGGGTTGAATTAGCATGTTATAGTGAGTTCTTGGCGTATACACATCAAGGAGGGGCACTAAAAGAGATCACAGAGCAGCCTACAATCATCTAGGAATTGGATGAGTCAGGAAGATGAATCTCTCGGAGGAGCAAAGATCTGGCCTTATTGACAGCGTTAAAACATAGACATATATGCTCGTCAAGGTCCTTGGTCTGCTCAGTAAAATTGAGATAGCTCTTGCGAAGCTGTTTCACCACCCCATGGATTAGATATTTGTCCCTGCCGCTTTCCAATCCAAGTCGGATAAGAAGCTTGTCACCCTCGACAGCATTGTACAAGCTGACAACAAGGCTGTCAACGGTACAGAGATGATGGTTAAGGACAAACACTCCCATAGCAGCAGCATCAAGTTGAGCCATATGGGCAAGCTCTTTCTTCTTAAGACCACAAGGGACACAGGCAGTACAAAAAGGGGTAGCAACAATGGCAGCAAGGGCATGTGTTGCAACAAATGCAGTAGTAATAGCAACTGCTATGACAGTGCCGATTAAGCAAACGGCAGAAGCAGCAGTTGATCGGTGCAGGAGGCGAACTCTAGAACGGGACTTGTTGAGGCGGCGGTCTAGCTGCTGCTTGAGCTGGGAGAAGCAGCGGCGCATTTCAATGAAGTTATCCGAGCCAGGACAAGGAAAAGGGTTGTCGAGACGATCATATTGAAGGAAAATATCGAACGCCCTATTGCACTGTGATTGTGTAAAGGAATCAGTGTCATCGGGCAACACATCAAGAAGCTCGTGGATAGGAGCATACAGAACTCTTGCACGATCCAGGGTCCGGAAAAGCACAAGGCAACGGTTGGTGGTATTTTCGCTGTGATCAAAGTAAGTAGAGACCAAGCGGGTGAGAGTGTTGGGCTTGGCATGGCGCAAAGCTTCTTCAACAGATTCCCGGTTGGGTTGCAGCAGCTGCGACAAAAGAAACTGGTGGGCACCCCCAACCACCCCATTTCCATTCACAGTCTCAACTTGTTCTCGATCATGGACTTCACTAATATCATGAATCCGGGACCAAATTTCACTGTAGGAATTGCTCTGTACGGCTAGTGTGTACTCGCGAGTGAGGATTGGGGGCGAGGCCTGAGTGCTGGACCTAGGCGTTCCCTCCGTAGAAGTCCCAGCTGCAAGAAGGAAAATTGGATTCAGACATTTACACAAACACCCGACGTGCAAGCACTTTGGAGGAGAGGAAAAGTGGAAAACCACAACTTTACCTTGGGAAAGTGGGGGATAGGAATGTAAATCGAGGGTTTGTGGGGATGTAACACGCGATGATGATGTTTTGAAAGAAAGGCACTGCATCTCCTCGGAGGGTGAACTTCCGACGGTGGAAGAGGAGGAGGAAATGCTTTCTGCTACTGTTGGATGGAAGAAAAGAATCAGGAAGCTTCGGTTTAGCGGAAGATGTCATGAGTCAAAAACGAACCAAAGAAGGAAGTATGACATATCAATCATATGGGAGAGAGAACGGCTGAAAGAAATTTTGTAAGCTCTAAAATGGTCATTTGACAAAATGACTTTGGAAAACATGTAAATTTTAATTTTACAGT